GTGTATATCATAGTGAAGTACAATAAAACACGTAGCCTCAAGAAATCATAAAAAGCCATATTTAATAGAAATACCTAGAAATATTTTGTCTTTTTGGTGGGGAATTTATGTCCGAAATATTGAAGAAAATAATTCCTTTTTAAATTTGGTCATATTTTCCCCAAGAAAAATATTTTATTTTCGGGAAATTATGGCCAAAAAACCGGGGAGACTATTTCCAATTCGGTTTGGACGTAATTTCCCGGGGAAAATATTACCAAACTGATGGAGAATTTATATCCAAAACTGAATGGATATAATTTCCCCAGATATTTTTTTAAAAATTTGAGAAAATATGACCAAAATTTGGGGAAATTGTAACCGGGGAAGATATGTCCTGTAGCCAAAATAACAGCATAGCACCACTAAATTGATGTTAGTGATGTTACTTGATTTTATTGAACAGCAATATCCATCGCTTCACCTCATTGGCCCTATACATTATTGTTCGTTTATTATTCAAACAAAATGTTGACATCTTTCACTTTTGATTTTGGTTAAAACTACTTTCAATACATGAGCAAAAAATTGAACGATGATTTTCTGAGGTGGTGATATCATTTGACATTTGAAATTACGATTTTCATTGCATAATGTTATATGCATAAGCATTGGATGTTACTTAAAAAGATAAACTTACTTAAATTTGCTTTGCAAAAAATGTTCATTCGATATACTTTGTGACAATGCAAGCATAACCATGATTGCTGGAACGTGTCCATCTTCTAGTCCGAATATCATCAATACCAACTTCACAACAATTCGATGACATTTTGATGATGAAAATATATTAATTGATGTTGTTACATCGATGTATACATTTAGACGAGCAATCGAGTTGATTTTATTCTGAAATTTTCTATTTCATTTGTTTTTTTTTTCTTTTAGAACAATTGAACGCAAAGTAATTTGCAATTTGGACATTATTAAAATAAAAAAGGGAAACTTGGTCGCGATTGCAAAAAATCAAATCTTGTTATTCATTTTCCGACAATAACAGCATTCGTTTTTCAAAGTCTAAGAATATTAATTCTATTATTATTATATTTTGTTTGAGATAATTCCCAATTCTAAATCAATTAATTTAATATCATTATCTTTTACTGTTTTACAACAGAAATCATTAATTTAATCCAAGCCAATCTTTGGTTACAATTACTCTCACGATTATTTCGTCGCCAATTTTGTATTCATAAATATACTTTAATGGTACGAAATCAGTTTTGTTTGGTTGACCAGAAATACAGATTTCTATATCTTAGTATCAATTTGCACAATTATGTTTACACATTCATTTCGATCAGTATATTTATATATTTTTATGAATCTCATCCTGTTTAGAATCATTGTTATGAAACGCAATGTGGTTTCGATACAAATCGCATCATACGATGTTGCGTACGAGCTTTGTTCATCGAAAGGAAACTTGTTGTGCGCACAATATTTGTAAACACATACTACGGTGTACGCATAACTTCAATGCGGTCGTACAACGTTTTTTATGCTTAAGAACGAAAATTTACGACCTGTTCCATAGAATTGGTTCCAATGTAAAGTTCATTCAAATATTCAAACATTATTACATATGAAGGAACCAAACACAATTTAACCCAATTTATATTTTAAGCATTTATTTTATTCAATACAATAAAATACAATAAATTTTTTGAATATGTGTATGAGGTAGCAAAGAATTTGAATAAGGAAACCGTTTGAATTTGTGTGCTTAATGCATATGGTGTGACAAAAATGTCCTTTTATATAATAAAATCGTCTATAGAAAGAAAACATAGAACACATTTGGCAAGCTTTGATAAAATGTTTGACATTTTCATTCATTATTCGGCCGTTGATTTGGAGTAAATAGTTGTGGAAATGATGTTTGTTGATTGATGTTGATTTCCTGTAGCATCGCTTCATCGTAAGTGGGCAGATCAAATTCTTTAGAATGAAATGCAAGAATTTTTCAATGTAAAATAGAGTGTTCTATAAGAAAAAATATTTTAAATCTACTTACCATCATCCGGAAATGGTGGTGGAGTACTTGCGTAAGTTCGAATTGACACTGTATCATCATCAGGAGCTGATTGTTCTCTGCAACCATGTGATGATTCCGTTTGACGTATCGGAGTCGGTGGCAAATCTGTTTGGCTTCTCAGAGACATGCTCACATTTTGCATGTCACTGTAAAATGATTTAGTTCCAATTACAACCGGCATATAAAATCGAATACTATTTTGATTGTAACCCATGCAACATGCAATCTGTAGAAAAAAGAATAACAAACAAATAAGAAACTACATAGATTCAGAAGAAATCTGTTAAAAACTCCACTAACTCGAACAAAATATTCAATTTTGATCAACTTGCTGGTTGTTGTATCAGTTGGTGGTAGTTTTGGTACTTTTAAAAAAGCAGCAATCGTTTTATTTTGTTTTGGTTGACAGGCAGAAAAATATTGTTCCTTAACTACTATAATCTCAGTCCTTTGATGTTTACTATTCTCAGACTTGAAGTAAACAGTTTTCTGAAAGGAAATATTTATGTAAGTGGCATACAATGTTATGAAAATGGAAAAAAAA